TTGGGAGTATTTTCAATCAACCAATCAATCAATCATCATTTTTATTGCCCAGCATGTTAAAAATACAAGGAATTTGACCCTAGTTCAGTGGTCCCCACAAAATAAAAATATAGGATAATGAATGAAAGACAAGAAGACTAAATTGATTAACTGATAAATCACCTACATACAAATTTGTGAAAAAGAGCTCCTTGTATTGGTTGTGTGCAATGACTGTATCTTAGTTATTACCCTGTGGTGTCTGTGCTGTATCTTACCATACATACAGTACAAACATGGATTGAAGTCCACTGTCATCTCCACTGTTTTGAGCATATTCAGCTCCAGGTTGTTACAACTACACCACTGGGCCAGCTGTTCAACCTCCTGTCTATATGCAGACTCGTCACCGTCTTGGATGAGACTGATGACTGTTATGTCATCTGTGAACTTCAGGAGTTTAACAGGGGTGGCGGGTCCTCGTACAGTGCAGTTAGAACAGCAGGAGAGCACACACCCCTGGGGGGGACCTGTGCTGATAGTCTGGGTGCTGGATGTGGTTTCCCCCAGCCTCACCTGCTGCTTCTTAACTGTCAGAAAGCTGGTGATGCACTGACAGGTGTGGTCAGGCACAGTGAGCTGGGTCAGTTTAGAGTGGAGGATGTCCAGGATGATGGTGCTGAATGCTGAGCTGACTATAGACCTATAGTAATGTTGCAGTGCATGCTGTTTGGCTTTGCATGGGTTTGACTATATTGTTAGTTTTACCTGTTCTAAGAACCCAGCTTGATTTATCCATGATTACTCAGCCAGGTGCAGGCTAATGATAAAGGCCGGATGGCTGAAAACCTCTTGCAGAATAAAATAATTTCTTGCCAACGAGTACAATCCTAATTTACAATTATTGGGATAATGCACCAAGCTTTCCTGAGCACGTTGGAATCCATACATAAAAGTTTGACCCCCATCTAGTCACCTCTCGGTAATGAAACAGAAAATGCTTGCTTTCATATTTTTAATGAACCAGGTGTTCTGTTTATTTAATAGACTTTTGTATGCTTTACATAAGTTAAGTTATTACAAAGATTGATTGACAACAAAATGAATTTTACAAATGTTAAACTGGTACTAAAAACATCTGAACACAAGTAAATACAACTTAATACACATACACAAATCTCTTTTTAATGATTAGTAGCTTGAGAGGAATCCTGCACAGCCACATGAACCCACTTTATTAAAGACATTTCAGTCTTTGGCCCTTCATCAGATAAAACTGAATATTTTTTTCATGATGAATGTCAGATATTAAAATCTAAAGATGTTCTCCATCCCCTGAAATAAATCCCTTTGGGACTCACATTCATTAGGGCTGAAACATCTACTACAGTCCAGTAAAACATTGTCAACAATGTGTTTATTAATACAGTGTATGTTAATTTCTCTGTGTATAAACTTATTTTACCTTATTCTGCCTTTGTCATTTTGAATTAATCACATTCATTTGAATACCATCGACATTATTTTCTACAGGTAAATTACTCCATGTCATTTTAATCAATCTAAACATACAATTTTCCTGTGATAAATAGGTTTATAAAGTGTATGAGCCACATCTGTATTACATAGTATTGCCACTGTGACAATGATACCATGTGTGTCCAGCAGACGGCAACACTGGGTATATTCTTAAGGCTTAATCTAGCTAAATATTGCTAGGTCTATTACCTGGAATCATGGTGTAGAAAAGCCCAGACTACTATAAAAAAAGAAACCCCTTTTTAAAAACATATAAAAACCTTTCTGACTACCTGGACTGATGTCAAGTATGTTTGGCCATGCTGTCAAACCTAAGCTGTGTTATAAAGTGAGCTGTGCTATTTGGTTGATTCCTTTTTATTTTTTCAAGGGTTTACAGGTTTTATTTGTTTGACTGCAATCCTTGTATTCAAATCAAGTTTTCCTCTCAGGATAAAAAAAATTGCCAAGTGAACTCGGCTAAAACATGTCTTCCTTCCCCACTACTGGACAGACCTGCTTTGACCAGAGACGCATCAGGTAAAGCCAGTTGTGTTTTTTACAGAGCATGGTGTAAGTTCATCTGTGAAGCAAACTGAAACTGGCAGATGTCTGTAGGTCAACATATTGACTGTCTACAGCAAACGCCTAGCTGTCTTTCTCAATATGAAATGACATACACACCTATGGGATGTGGCTCCAACAGTTTTATTAATAGAAATCCAGCCCATGCTTATGCTTCTCATACAAGGAGTTTTGCTCTGAGTCAGATAGAAATATGGATCTTCTCTGGAGCCCAGGGCTTTGATGACAGGTGAATGGGGGAGGACCATAGCTGTGAGTCTGATCTTGTGTGATTGGGGTGGTCTCATCTGGAGCCTGAGAGGCCCAGCCAGGTAAGGCACTGCCAGAAACAGTCCAACCGTGGAGGTCCACAGTGAGCCTCGAGTCCAAGAGAGCCTCCTTCATCTGTTGATTTTCCCTGGTTGCCATCTGCCATACCACCTCCAGCTCTTCCTCTACTTCTCTGGAGGAGCAAAGACAGGTGAGGAGGCAAGCAAGTCTTTCAAAACAGTCTATTTATATTTGAGAAGGCAAATTGTTGACAAAAATAAAATGAAAATACACAAGCAGTCTCTGACAACACCTAGGTATACAAAGGAAAATAAAACAAACTGGGTATACAACATGATCAGGAGGACCACAGCAAGAGCTGAAGGTATATCTCTGCTTTCTTATGATGGGGGAATCTTGAGACATCTTCAGCCAACACTAGTGGCTCATTCATTTTAAGTGTATTCTATCTACAGGTTGCTTTGAAAATGTCACAATATCTGCTGATTTCTGCTATGTAAACACCAACAGTCGTTAAGACTACTGCAATAGCTCACACAGCTCCATTTCAAACCTCTATCACCACTGTACAAAACTACCAAGAACTCAGGACTCCTCTTCCTACCTCCCCTCACTCTTCCTTATTCAAAAACACTGCTGCTGAGAATACAGATCCAAGCATCACCTCTTTGCCCAGTTATTTCTGAAGTAGAGCCTGAAGCACTGTATTTTGTCATTTAAATGGATGTAGGCCCATAGCAGCAATGAACATGCTGTGATCATGCAGGATCATGGCTGTAACTAGTTTGGTTAGATTTCACAGGCCTGCAAACTGTTTCATAAGGAGACAGAAGTATGTAGTCAGAAACCTAAAGTGGCTTTATTTGTCAGTTAACATGCTTTAAGGCAGTTTCATTTTTTAAACTGTACATTTTATATAATGCTCTGTGCACACAGTATTTTGTGAAAAGCAGCACAGTGTTATGTGAAAGTAGCATCTCTTAAATGCTGAGCTTTGTGGGGTTTTTTATTCACTAGTGTTGTTTGTGGCTTAGTACAAATCCATTATACATTTTATTTGTGATTTATCATATAAAGTGAATCCAGTCTCATTTTACAAAAATATAGTCTATAAGGTGCTTTTAAGTATTGGCAAAAATTGAAAAACCTTAATTTTGTAGGTACAGTAGAACAGATTTTACTGAAAAAAGCACATAAACAAGTGAAGTATACTTTCTCAAAGCCTGTTAACAAGTTAAGATCATTTTATTTATAGTAGGCTATAGGTTTTTTTAATGAGAAGATATCTGAAGTCACCGCCATATGATGGCACAATCCCATTTTATCGTACAGTTACTCCTTGATGTTGGATGCAATGTGTGCATATTATCACCAACAGCAATACAAGTTCTGTGTGGGTCTAGGAGTGAAGGCAAGTCTACAGGGTCATCAGGTGGGCACCCTCTCACTAACTGGTCTTTCAGAGTTAAGGTCCATGACACAGAGAAGGCTCAACAGTATGTTCCAGCATCCCAAAACCACCCCTCCTTTGCCTGCACCCACACACTCAACACAACCCTTCATCTACTCAGGCTAACTTAGGTTAACTGTTACCAAACAGTCACTAGCAGTAGCAAACATTTTGACTGCAGTTCTAGCCACCAAACATTTAAAATAACCACCCTCTGTTAGTATTCATTGCAACAAACTAGTCAAACTTCTACTGTGCTCTCATGTTAACTTGCTCATGCCAACACCAAGAAGCAGGCTTAAAACACTTTTACTAAGCTTTTCCTCCTGTGCTAGTTTACTTTAGCTTAACAGGCATAATCCTCACATATATTGCCATTTCTAAATCACTTGCCTATTTTTACTCCATTCACACTCCTTTCTTCTGCTCCAAAGCCACTTACTGGACCTTGCTGCACTGTCAGCTAGATTCCTAATTACTTGTCTTAGACTCTGCCCTTTTAACTCACTTAACTCACCTAGCAGAGAGACAGCTGACTTGGCTACAAATTCCCTACAACCATCCTCCACAGGGCAGACTTTAACTTTCCAGCCATACTCCTCTGCCTCCATGGCTAATTCTGTGTATTTCAGTTTCTTCCTTCCTATATCACAATCATTACAATGAGCCTGACAGTCAACCCAAAGACAATGTAATGCTTCTGGCCATGGGTTTTGCCAAAGCAGAGGCCTAAATCTTAATGAGATGAAAAATGTTTCATTGGGTCTCTGTCAGAGAGCTGCTATTTCTCTCTGTTGGTACAGTACACTACAGCATATGATCAATTTGAGCACCCATCTATTAATGCTGGTTATGTCTACCTCTCATTATGTTCATGCTTGTTGGTTTCTGTCTCAATTGCATGTAAAAGAATATCGCGACTCACAATGCTCCAACATGAACAAGTGTATGAATCAGCTGACACCCTGCTGTCTCAGAGAGGGGAAGAAGGAGGAATAATGATTACAGAAAATAATGAAGGGCTTCAAGGAGACAGAACATAATTACCAGTGTGTGCAGTTACTGTTTATAATGGCTAATTCATAAAAGGCTCTTTTGTCATATGCTGTTCACATGTCATCAACAGAAGCAATTATCTGCCCTGTCTGGATTCATTTATCTGCTTATTATAGTGGAGGGGACATCAGCATGACAACACCAATGTTGTACAAGTGTATTTCAATGAAGTGACAGGCTAATTGACCCCTGTCTTACAAGACAGATACACAGACTAACAGCCTGCTGGCTTGAAGACACTAAACATACGGTACTTCCATTTCTGGCTTAGGAGTTAGGAGACGGTAAATTTGGGCTGATACACAAGTTAACAGTGAATAATAATGGCTCAGTTTAGCTGGATTCAACACATACAGAAAACCGACACTTATGATACAAGGTTGTATTATTAGCTTTTCTGTCTTAAAGCAGTATTGCATGGCTGACTGTGCAGGTAACATGCTAACATCAGTGTGCCAGCATGCACACAGTGACAGTGGTAAGAAACTGATGTTTAACAATTACAATGCCATGTTCAGTGTCTTAGTTTAGCATGTTAGCATGGTAACATTTACTAATTTGCACTAAACATGAAGTATAACTGAAGCTGATGAGAATGCCATTAGTTTTGCAGTTTTTTGTTTTAGTATAACTCTAGGAATGACAATATTCGTCTCTGTCTGCTGGTTGGTTGGCTAGTTATTCCACTACTTTGGTCCACCATCTATAAGAAGATGGTGTAGTCTGAAATTTAATATTGATATTTGTGGTTACCAGATGCTGCATCCTCATGACATTAGCGATCTCTTGACTACAGTACCACTCATTTGGGTTAACAATGTTTGCTGTTAATGTTTCTTTGAGTGATGGTCTAAAAAACACTGTCCTTTGACTTTCTTGAGCAAAGACCCTAAAACTCCACAAACTGCTAATTACCTCCAACTCAAACAACATGAACAGCGTTATCCATAGCAACAACACTCATAACTGCTTCTATAAGGCTACTCAAACGCAATACAAGCATAAAAAGTGCAGCTACAGTGTAAGAGTTTAAAATTCAATTGTGTGTATGCGTATTTTAGTGGGATAGCTCTGGCGACCATTATGGCACACAGCCACAGTCTAGCCTACAAAGGAAGGTCAGCAGCGCCAATACCCCAATACATCGTAATTACAATTATAACCACAACGAGCTGCAGCCATCTCGGGGTTTGTTCTGCCACAGGACAACTCCGTCCTCACTATCTGTGCCCTGTCAGCTCAGACACTAATGTTACTTATAGTTATTCTGAAGAGTGGGGTTTATAAGGCAAGTCTGGCTGCAGCACAGCCACAGGTAACAACATTAAAGACCTTTTCAGATATGATGTGGTGGGCGCTGCAGTGGGCTATTAAACCCATTCATTTCTACGTGTTGTCACAGTGCAAAAACGCACTGTTGAGCACAGCGCAAGGTTGCACGTGCTGCCCCTAAGCACTGTGCTGAAGTTAAAAAAGTTCAACTTCTTTACACCTCGACACGCCCAGTTGCAGAGAACCTGACAGAAGCTGATTTTGGTGAACCTACACCGTGGGATCTGTTTCCTTGGTGGAAAATCTTACTGACATTGACCTGGCAAGTCTGCCTGTATGCTGGCAATCCACCAAACATTCAAACTCACACTTTGCTAAAAGAGGATGTGAGGTCACACACTGATTGGCTATTTGCATGTTATGCCCAAATCACACCCCTGCTTTCGTGAGAAGATCAAGTACAGCCCTTTTTTTGCCTCATTCTTAAATTACTAAATGAACATGGACACACCCAAACTCCACTTGTCAGAATCAGAATCAGAATCAGAATCAGCTTCATTGGCCAGGTGTGACGGACACATGAGGAATTTGACTCAGGTACATCAGCTCTCAATGTGCAAAACAGTAAACCAGCATAAGGCTGTGTAATATAACAAAATAACAGTATTAACATCAACAACCAGTGCAAACAATGCAGAAAAAGCAGTATAAACAGACAGTAAACAATGCAGACAACAAAGGAATGTTCATTGAAATGAGATAAATAGGGATAAAACAGAGTACTTAAGAAGTAGAGACCTGTACAAGTCTCTATAATCTGTACGAGGTATATTTACAGGTATTGCACTGAGGAAGTGCAATACCATGTATTGTGCCAGTACATCTTGATCAGATACCATGGATCCTCAAAATAGGGCCCTTGAAATCTTCTTATATTTCATAAATGAATCATAAATGAAGAAGAGTGTGAAGTAGAAATTCTCATATCACTTCAGCACAAATACAGCCCTAGAACCAGACAGAAACTAGTACATATGGCTGAGTAGTAATAGTAATTTAGGTGCCACCAGCGTCTTATCTTAAGCACTTGAATTTGACATCCAGGATGCCCTGAGCAGCAATCAGACATCATTTATGTCAACTTAGATTTGTTTTTTCAAATAAAGAATTCAGTTGCTTCTGTTTTATAATGGAAAAGCATTACATTATTGAATTGTGAGCTAAATTATATTGTAACACTATAAGCAATAAACATATCAACAGTGGTTTATTTCATTAGGTTTAAAAAATGGCATGTTGGTGCTGGCTGCAGCTCTGCATGTGGTTCATGGATTATCCATGTGAGCTGAGTGTTGCTGTCAGCAAAGTACTGCTACTGTGTGCCAGTGACAAAC